TTTCGCAAGGTCTTACAAGCTAAGCAATTTAGGTTGGAATTAAGTAGGATTTCGTGACACACAGTGCCCGCCTTAGGTAGCTTAAAATGGGCAAAGACCGTAGGGGAATTTTTCCACAATGAGATAAGTAGGCTTTACGATGCAATTTTATTTCACCTCGACATGTTTCCAAGGGGTATTCTTCTCTTGGGTGGACTGCGGTCTCGGCCTCGCCTGGGTCTCCTCAGTACTCCGAGGAGGAGTCGAACCTGTCTTGTTGAGTGTATATTTTCGACATTTTGCCACACAGGCCAGTCAGTCACAAGGATCACATGTCTTTTTTTCTGACAAGATGGTAGCCGAAACATACATATAATTGTCATTTCAGTCGACAACGTTGTTTGTATCTGAATTAAGTGGGATTTCGATAGCAATTTTCGGAAGTAGGGCCAAGTGAAATTCAAGTGAATCATGAGGTCTTCTCAGCTCATTTTGGGAAAATTCTTTATCAGTCCCTCATCACTTTATACCACCCACGGTGACTAGGACTCTTGTTCAAGAGGGACTGACAGTTTCGAAACCAACTTTATGTGAATACCTCATCAATATACTTAAGCTGGCTTGAGGAAGTAGCATTAAATAGCAAAATTCAGCTTAAATTTTGTATGCGGATCTGTAGTTCTCCTCCACCAGTTCCCAGAACTCCCGTGACATGTATACAATTGTACGCTGCCTTAGCTGGGTTCGAGTCCCCCTAGGGGTGGGGAAGTGACTACAGTGCACTCCACCGTGGATGAGAATACCTGTTGGGAAATGGCATCCTCAGACTTAGTCATCTCAATGTGGGAAAATTCTCCATCAGCAATTCACACCTTCAGCGGCCTAATGTGACTACAGATTGAATTGGTGATGCTAAGACTGATACATAATGGTGTAGTGAGAGAGAGCGAGTTGACAACAGGTAGGAGGAGAGAATAAGAGAAAGAGCCTTAAGGCAATCTGAGTGCTTCTAAGCCTACTTTGCACCTGCGTGCCTCTAGGCGGCATTGGAAGACAGTGGTACTGGCAGGCAGCCCGGGTTGCATATAAACCGGGCGTCGAGACGCCAAAAAATCGAGTCATAAGAATGGGCCACTCGTGCTCGCCAAGCCTTTCGACAGCCCCTTTTGTAGCAGCATCTTCTTCAGGGTCTTCGCCACTTCTGCCGCCTTCCGCGAAGACTACACCACCGACGCCACCGACGTGTGCACCAAACAGGCCTGAGGCAGACTCAGACGCAATTGGCGGTTGTGAGGCGACTGGACTTGCTGCCAACCGGTCTTGCAAGTTGCTGCCAGTGCCGACATCGGCAGGTCTGGGTTCTGCGACCGGACACACCCGCAAAGTTTGGCAGTCGCCAAGGGAGGCGTTGAATTGCCAGGCGGTCAGACGGCCGTTTGAGCAGTTGGTGGGCGGATCGGCGGAAAAGCAGTTCCTAGAGACTGTGACGAATGCAAATAAGATAGGCGGCAAAAAAGAACCACGTCTGGATGATCGACTGTCAAGACGGGAGCAGAGACACACATGAGGGGGCAAAAATCGCGAAAAATGCTGCTAATTCGTGTCGAAATAATCATTGTTTTTTAAATTAGAATTTAGTCAGCTTGGGTCACATAATGGGAGATAACTTCGAATACCGGAGTTTGTCCTAAAATCATATGAGTAGGCCTTGCCTCCCAAAAGGTTGTTAACCTATAATTCTTCTACATAGTCTCCCTGAACACAAGACCAAGTTGCGACAACGAGGTCAACCCACTTCTATAAATCGAAAGGAGACTGCGACCCCAACAGAGGCCTCAACATCTTAGTCTTCATATCTATAATTCTTAAGTTTCGAAGTCTTATCAGATTGACAATATGAGGCGTCGTCGAGTGCAATGTTATATACAGTAGGGTAAAAAGGTATGCATCTATCATCAAGAATTGCGCCTATTTCCTCATTTGTAAAAAACTAATACAAATGTTTACTTAGATGATAATTTTCAAACAAGATTGCCTAATTTGTCGCTAATAATTAAGTTAACTATTGCAAGTTCATTAAGACAAATCAAGGAAAGTTTAATCAAAGATATGAAGCCCATGATGGTGTGGCCATCGGTATGGCCGCAGTCTCCTTTCGATTTATAGAAGAGGGTTGACCTCTTTTCGCAACTTAGTCATGTTGTCAAGGCAACTTAGTTGAACGCACTTTGCCCAAAGTCATCGGCATTAGTAGTTATAATAATTCCCAACATCAGACCGTGAGCAAAACGTCTGAAAATGTCGGGAATTATGATAGCTAATAGGACAGAGGACTTCGGACAAGGTGCGTCCAATTAAGTCGCCCTGACAACAAGACCAAATTGCGAAAACTAGGACAACCTACTTCAACGAAAGTCTGTTTGTATTCACTGACATTCGAAATGTCTTAATATTTGGTATGACAACATTTTGTTGAGCTTCCTTCCATTTCGGGTAAAAATGTTGGTGAAGAGATTCGAAGGTCGGTTCCAACAGAAAACGACGGTGGATTCCTCTTGACCAGCGGTCGATTGGCTTTACTCGAAGATTCATGCTGGAGCTGTTTCCGAGGTAAGCTCCTTCGATTCCGGTAAAAGGGTGCTAAGCTTTCGTCCGTCATATGA